CACATAAAACTGCAGCCTTCCGATAACCCGGTTATGAAAATAGATGCATTAGATTTGACTTATGTTAAGAAAGATAGAATTAGACCTAAAAAAACTTGATTATAAAATATTAGAAATGACATTTCTTTATTAGATTTAAATGAGAATTTAACTTTTAATAGAACATAATGAAGAAAAATGATTCATGTAACTGACCCCACATAATGAGATAAAGGCTTGACGTTTGTTGTTGTATATCATAGAGTAGACAACAATTTTAAATTGCTTCCATATTAAAAAAGCCGAATGATTTGTTATTGAGTATCTTATTCTCCTAAATGGTTTTAGGCTGGCTGCAATCAAACTTGGGGCTAATATGCCAGCTAGAGTAGAACTGATAGTTAGAAACCCTGAAGGAGAGTCTCCTCTAATTGGGGAACCCACAGGAGAGTTCTATGATGTAATCCTCTTCTTTGGCATAATTGACATCCTTCAGGATTATGATCTCACCAAGAAGCTTGAGCACGCTTACAAATCAATCCAGTATGATCCCACCTCCATATCTGCTGTAGATCCAAAGCAATACTCGAAGCGTTTCAAAGAGGGGACTATGGAAATTTATTGGCCATTTTTGCTCCCTTTTGTTCCTTGTAAGAGTAAAAGAATTAGCGCTCTCCATTCACAACGTTTATTCATGTTCACAGTGCCTAAATGTCCAATCTCCAAAGAAATTGTGGCCATAATTATTACAAAGCACAACCTTAGCCATATAAGCACTTTAATTGTAAAAATAAAATAATAATCATAATAAAGTTAAGCTTTAATTTGACCGAAAAGTACATGTCCAATCTAATCCTCACACTACTTTCTTTGCAGCCTTCTCAATTTTAACAAAAGAAACACCGATAACCCATATTTTAGATGATTTTGTTTTGTTTTGTTTTAGTAATCTTTAAACTAATCGCGATCAGCAAGGTTGACACAACCAAACATCAGCAGTCATAACCATAGTTGCATAAAAATGATCTCCGAACAAACCATGCTCAAATATTTGCAATGCAGGTATAAAGCAGTCCTATACTTTTTCATCATGTACAGGTCAACAACTACTACTTTCACCAACCTTCCAGCTTGACAAGGGTGTGCTGCCTAAAAGCTTGCCTCTTAATTAGGAAAGGAATTATCTGGTGCATTCTCCTCAAGTTATTACATATAATTATGTTAATTTGACACCTAATTTTCCCTATATATTGGGATGTTTATGAGCTAATTTTATTCCTTAGCTTTCTTTCTATTTTAGACTTACAATTTAGTATAATATTATACCTTTTTCTATTCATTGAAATATGAGAAATGAACTATTCTTCTCCTATGTTTTTCAACATTATTCATAAAAAAAGTTTATGCATAATTTTTGTTATATGTGCAAAGAAATTCTTATATAAAATTGCAAGATAATTCTTTGTTCCAAATAAGGTAGAAGTTGATTCTATAAAAATTAAAATATAAGATTTCTTGCATTATAAGACAACACTTAAATTATTATTTCTTTGAAATAAAAAATTGGCCCTCTTGTTAATTATGGAGAATTATTATGCTTTTTGTGAATAGGTGTATTGTATTTCTTATCACTATTTCTATAACGAAAAAATTATATATGTATGATCCAATGAGTAACAAGAGTTAGTAAAAGATAAAAAAGTTTGATTGTTGTCACTATTACATTATTGTTTTTCCATTTCTTTATCTCTTTCTTGTTGCAAGAGAAAGGGTATTGTGTAGCACTTCATAATTATTTGTTCTCGAGTTATTGAGTCCAATTCATACCGTCCAAATGTGAGGGAGTGGTAGAGTTGTTATTTTGAAAAACAATTCAAATATTTTTTTTATATTGAGGGAGTTTAAATTTACATAATTATTAATACTATTTTATAAAAATTAGATTCTCTATAACTATTATAATGAATTTATCTTGTGTAGTGACCCATCCTTGCCATCCAATGTATTTTGGATGATTGAGATTAATACTATTCAAAATTTTAAAATTACTCTAGTTTTGAAAAAAGTTAATCTTAACCATTCAAAGTGGATTCGATAATTAGAATGGATAATTGCACTATGGTAAATAAAGAGTATTTGAACCCCTTTTACAAGAACTACTAATTTATTTATTTTTCTCTTCAGATGGGCTGATGGAAGTTTCTATATTGGGATATGGACTGGCATTGGTGTTGGGCAACAGAAGGGGGTTTACTTCCCCTCATTGTCAGTATCCATTCCAGTGGCCCGTGATCCTCGTGAGGCGATTGCCAATGAACTTGTCGAGTGTCATATTTCTCTAGTTGAAACAATTTCAATCCTCCCCTCTGAGAAGACACTGAACTGGATAGGGGTTGAGGCAAATTTCTTACAAAGGTAGGCATTATGGATATCAACGATGCCCATTAAGGTGATGCCAAGGCAGTTTGGATCAGTAGATGCGTCCACAACATCATCATCATCGTTGTTGTGGATGCATCTACTAATCCATACCGCCCTGGCATCACCTTAATGGGCATCGTTGATCTCTATAGTGCTTGCCTTTGTAAGAAATCTGCCTCAACCCCTATCCAGTTGAGTGTCTTCTCAGAGGGGAGGATTGAAATTATTTCAACTGGGAAAGTATGACACTTGACAAGTTCATTGGCAATCGCCTCACGAGGATCACGGGCCACTGGAGTTGATACTGACACTGAGGAAAAGTAAACCCCCTTATACTGCCTAATACCAATGCCAGTCCATACCCCAATATATAAACTCCCATCAGCCCACCTGAAGAAAAAAATAAATAAATTATTAGTTCTTGTAAAAGGGATTCAGATACTCTTTATTTACCATAGTACAATTATCCATTCTAATTATCGAATCCACTTTGGATGGTTAAGATTAACTTTTTTCAAAACTAGAGTAATTTTAAAACCTTGGATTGTATTAATCTCAATCATCCAAAGTACATTGGATGACATGGATGGGTCACTGCACAAGATAAATTCATTATGATAGTTACAGAGAATCTAATCCTTATAAAATAGTATTAATAATTATGCAAATTTCAACTCCCTCAATATAAAAAAATATTTGAATTGTTCTTCAAAATAACAACTCTACCACTCCCTCACATTTGGACGGTCTGAATTGGACTCAATATCTCGAAAATAAATATTTATGAAGTGCTACATAATACCCTTTCTCCTGTAACAAGAAAGAGATAGAGAAATGGAAAAACAATAATGTAATAGTGACAACCATCAAACTTTTTTATCTTTTTCTCCCTCTTGTTACTCATTGGATCATACATATATAATTTTTTCGTTATAGAAATAGTGATAAGAAATACAATACACCTATTCACAAAAAGCATAATAATTCTCCATAATTAACAAGAGGGCCAATTTTTTATTTCAAAGAAATAATAATTTAAGTGTTGTCTTATAATGCAAGAAATCTTATATTTTAATTTTTATAGAATCAACTTCTACCTTATTTGGAACAAAGAATTATCTTGCAATTTTATATAAGAATTTCTTTGCACATATAACAAAAATTATGCATAAACTTTTTTTATGAATAATGTTGAAAAACATAGGAGAAGAATAGTTCATTTCTCATATTTCAATGAATAGAAAAAGGTATAATATTATACTAAATTGTAAGTCTAAAATAGAAAGAAAGCTAAGGAATAAAATTAGCTCATAAACATCCCAATATATAGGGAAAATTAGGTGTCAAATTAACATAATTATATGTAATAACTTGAGGAGAATGCACCAGATAATTCCTTTCCTAATTAAGAGGCAAGCTTTTAGGCAGCACACCCTTGTCAAGCTGGAAGGTTGGTGAAAGTAGTAGTTGTTGACCTGTACATGATGAAAAAGTATAGGACTGCTTTATACCTGCATTGCAAATATTTGAGCATGGTTTGTTCGGAGATCATTTTTATGCAACTATGGTTATGACTGCTGATGTTTGGTTGTGTCAACCTTGCTGATCGCGATTAGTTTAAAGATTACTAAAACAAAACAAAACAAAATCATCTAAAATATGGGTTATCGGTGTTTCTTTTGTTAAAATTGAGAAGGCTGCAAAGAAAGTAGTGTGAGGATTAGATTGGACATGTACTTTTCGGTCAAATTAAAGCTTAACTTTATTATGATTATTATTTTATTTTTACAATTAAAGTGCTTATATGGCTAAGGTTGTGCTTTGTAATAATTATGGCCACAATTTCTTTGGAGATTGGACATTTAGGCACTGTGAACATGAATAAACGTTGTGAATGGAGAGCGCTAATTCTTTTACTCTTACAAGGAACAAAAGGGAGCAAAAATGGCCAATAAATTTCCATAGTCCCCTCTTTTTGATAAAAGTTGATATTTATAAGCATATTTCAAACTTCATTATAAGCATGTTTAAGGAAATACTATGAAGTTTCTTTGTAAATTTAGTTAAAGATTTCATCAAAATACTTGACATATGCGTAGTGTGTACATCTTTATATACTGAAAGTATTGAGTATTCTGTACACAATAATGGACAAAAATAACACTTGAATATTCTTCCTTCTCCATTATTTTGACAAAATAAAAAAATTTACTTGTCAATGGTCATTAGCTTCATTCAGTCAAGCATGGTTAAACCCACCCTGAATTTTCTTCTAAAAAACATCATTAAAATCTTTTACACATATAATGGTTTGGTCACATAAAATGGTAGAATTGACTTATGTTAAGAAAGATAGAGCAAGATCTAAAAAGACTTGATTGGAAAATATTAGAAATGACTTTTTTTTATTAGATTTAAATCAGAATTTAACTTTTAACAGAGAAAAAGGATTTATGTAGCCGACCCCACATAATGAGATAAAGACTTGACGTTTTTTGTTGTATATCATGGAGTAGACATATAGTAATTTTTAATTGCTTCAATATTAAAAAAGCCGAATGATTTGTTATTGAATATCTTATTCTCCTAAATGGTTTTAGGCGTGCTGCAATCAAACTTGGGGCTAATATGCCAGCTAGAGTAGAACTGATAGTTAGAAACCCTGAAAGCGAGTCTTCTCTAATTGGGGAACCCACAGGAGAGTTCTATGATGTAATCCTCTTCTTTGGCATAATTGACATCCTTCAGGATTATGATCTCACCAAGAAGCTTGAGCACGCTTACAAATCAATCCAGTATGATCCCACCTCCATATCTGCTGTAGATCCAAAGCAATACTCGAAGCGTTTCAGGGATTTCATATATCGAGCTTTTGTAGAAGATGCTTAAATTACTAGCAAGTCATTACACCACAGCTTTTAAAAGCTTAGTTAGAATCTTTATTGGGCAGTTTTTTCACAACTTTTTAATTTTTTGGTAAGCTGCCACAAATTTTTTTGCCACAGCTTTCTTGCGTTTTTTTTTTTTTTGAAAATGTCAGTGATGAGAAATCACTTCTTACAATCATATATGTTAGAAGGTGATAGCTGTACAAAAGCTATTGCTTGATTTTTTTAAACAAGGAATAAAGTTATATTGCCCTTAACTATATTCAAAGCATGTACTAATCTACAACTATGTTTTACAAAGAAAGCTTTTGTTTGCCCCAAATGGACCCTTGGTCTCAAATTTGTTCCGAAAGTTTTAATTTCCACCATTTTGGTAGTTCTTTTAGGCTTTGTTTAGGCTTTGTTTGTGATGGCTTTTTTACTGCTTCTTAAAGTAGTTTTTCAGGAAAAAAAATTAATTTTTATACTAAATAACTGTTTTAAGAATCAATAAGAAAGCCATCCCAAATGAAGCCTTAACTTTTACATTTAGGTTTCGTTTGGGATTGTTTTCTAAATTTAATTTTTAAAAAGTTGTTTTAAAAAGCAGTATGAAAGCTTGTCTCAAATGAAACCTTTAGCTTTGATCACACCATAGAATATGGTCATCTCCATGACTTTCAATAGGGGCTTCTGTTTATATTGGTGTATTTGTTTTGCTTGATGGTGTATGTGTAAACTGTTAGGAATTGAAGAGCTTACTTGTAAATGTTAATTTCAAAGGGCAGTACTCATAATCTGTACGTTTTTTTAACATATATGTAGTATATAATTATATGTTTGTGTGAATTTTATCTAAGGAGTTTTGGGCAGTGGATATAAATGTTAGGCCGACATCATGTGAAATGAGTCATTGATGATTTCAAATGACCATTTATCCTTGTTAACATAATGGACAAGCTCGAGCTCAGCTTGTGAGCTTGATTAGCTCGGCTCGTGAGCTCATCAATGAGTAGAGCTCGATCTGGCTTGCATGCCGGCATGGCTCACTTAAACCCCTACTTATGGGTGGTAGCCTGGTAGGTCTTGTTGGTGGTAGCAATGTTAGAGAAAAATTAAAGTGTATTTGAAAATTGATCAAATCTAATGATTTTCAAATACATCATAATTCAACTAGAAAATGAATTATAAATACATTATAATATTACTCTATTTTATTTTACTTTAGATCAAATATCAATATTTTGAAAACCCTTATATTTAGAATATTTTATACCAATTTATTTCAAATCAAATAGTCCATAAGTTAAATATTCAAGACTCTAATTACAAAACTCTCTAAGAAATGCTTTTATGATATATATAATTTTGAATGATTAACATTTAAAATATCTTTTTTGGTTGATATTTTAAGTGTTTGGGATCACTGCAACATTTTATAAAGATTATTAAGTTGATATAGGAACAATAACATAGATATTCTGGTTTTAACAAATAAATTTTCATTTTTTTTAAAAAGGCAATATGAAAATAACAAAAAAATAATTTGTTAAAAGAAATTATAATTGTTTTGTGGAAAAGAAAAAACAGTGAAAAAATTATTCATATATGCATAAATTATTCATTTTTTAAGCAACTCATAAGAAAAGGATGGATACCTACATTAATAATTAAGTGGGGGAGCTATTGAAATAAGTTTGTATAGTGATTGATGGAACATTGGAAGATATTCAGAATCTATGTATTTAAAGCTTGAACAACTTGGAGGGTTTGAGAGATTTGTGATTTTCTTCACTACAAATTGTGTTAAAATTTTATATGCTTTGAGCAATGATTCATTATTAAGCATTGTCAACGAGAAAACTATTTTGCTTTTATTTTAACAATGATCTCAATTGAAGTTAGTATCTCCTCAACTTTTTCAATTGAGTTTTGAAGTCTTAGGGAGTTTTTATAAAAACTATAAAATTAGGCCTAATATATTTATAAATAAATATAAAATTATTTCAACATCAACAACAACATCAAATCTTTATCCCATTACGTGTGGCAGCTGCATGAATACTTTTTCTCTATTATGTCCTATTAAGAGTCGAATTCTCATTTAAATCTAATAAAGAAAAGTCATTTATAATATTTTCTAATCAAGTCTTTTTAGGTCTACCTTTACCTTTCTTAACATAGGTCAAATCTAATACATCTACTCTCCTAACAGGGTCATCGGAAGGCTGCCGTTTTACATGCCCAAACCATCTAAGGTACTCCAACCTTTTCACGGATATGCTAGTTTTGTATCATGTCTCTAAGAGTAAATCCACTCATTCACTTGAGCATCCTCATCTCAACAACACTCAACTTATATTATGCTTCTATTTTAATGGCCAACATGTTGCGCCATAAAACATGGCAGGTCTCATTACCATCATATAAAATTTTCCCTTAAGTTTAAGTGGTACGTTTCTATCACACAACAATCTCGAAACGTTCCTCTACCTCAACCATCCAACTTGAATTCTACTAATAATATTCCCATCTATTTCACAATCACTCTGAATAATAGACCCAATATATCTAAAATGAGTAAACTTATTAATGTCTTGATTGCTCAAATTTACAAACCCCCCACTAGATCTATTACTACTAAAATTACACCCAATGTATTCGATTTTAGATCCAATCAAACTAAAACTTTTAGACTCTAAGATTAACCTCCATAATTCGAGTTTACCTTCATCTCCCTCTCTAGTATTATCAACAAGAAGAATTCATCAGCAGAAAGTATACACCATTGTACATCCTTTTGCAAATGTCTAGTGAGAACATCCATGAATAAAGCAAAGAGGTGTGGGCTTAAGGATGATCTTTGATGTAATCCATACTTGCTCAAACCACCTTGTGCTTGAATACAAGTAACAACTCCTGCATACATATAACTAATGACTTGAATATAAGCATTATTAACCACTTTTTTCTAAAACTCTCCATAGCACTTCTCCTGAAACTTTATCATATGCTTTCTCTAAATCAATAAAAATCATATGTTGATCCTCCTTATTCTCTCTAAACTTCTCCATCAACCCTCTAGATAAATGAATAACTTTCATCGTAGACCTACCCGGCATGAATCCAAATTGATTTTGAGAAAGTCAAAACCTATGCTCCATAACTCTTCCAAAGTCTTAAAGTATGACACAAAAACTTAATTCCACTATTATTTGAACAATCATGTGCATCACCTTTATTCTTAAAAATAAGAATTAATACACTCATTATCTAAAGCCTCTCTAACTTTAGTTTTACTAATATGCCGATAAAAAAAAATCTCTATTTTCTATTTTGTGCAAGTCTCTGTACTTTGAAAGTGTGGAGTGATGTAACAGAGTTTGATTACTAACCCTTATCTTTCATTCGTGCATTTGGATCTACAAAATACTCTAATGACTGTTCAACTGGGACAAGGCGCTAGGATCCAATTGGCAAATACTATCATTGAGACAATCATTGGAGTGTTCTATAGAACCATTTGAAAGGCCTGCTAAGATCTACCATCCAATTTGGTAGCCTCAACTTCCCTGCAGTCGTTGTAAGGATTGCCGTCATTCCTGTGAATGGCGTGAGTACTGAAAGGCCTACTAGAAGGCCCCATTATATTCAAGTTGTTATATGCCAGATGTATCTGCTAGCATCACGGGCTAATAATGCCATTGAATATCCTCGTAAGAGGGTTTCTAGGTTCGAAAGGTTATCGTAACCTAAAGCCCCACATACTAAGAGGGTCATACCCGAAGGAAGAATATTAGTGGTGAATGCCAACACCACTACCATATCAATCAGGTTATCTACACCTAAAAATATAATACTGAAGCCTCCTCGTATGGAGGAAGGCTTACAAGGAGGTAAAGGATAAAGAAGAACGCTGAGCTATAAGCCAGTAATAATTGCTGCCAATGCACCGATCCAATATGTCAGCCCAGGAGCCAGAAGCAACCATTCCTATGCGAAATGGATTCGTGAATTTAAAATGGGTGAAGAGAAATAGCTCCACTGGTGAGCTGAAGAAATCCTTATGAGAGCAACGATGCGACGTCCTAGCCCCTCCAAAGAGAAATGAACCTGAGACCTTATTATCCTGAGTGTTTTAAGATAACTGTATTTAAAAAATTAATTAAAATTTTATTTTATAGTATTCATCTCAAATCAACTGCTAAAAAAATTTTATATGAATATCTTAAGGCTTCATTTCAGACGGTTTTCTTATTATTTTCTAAAGCAAATTTTTTAAAATAAAAAGTTTTAGTTTAAAAATTTTTTATTAAAAAATCACTTTGAAAGACAGTAAGAAAGATGTCTCAAACGAACCTAACTTAATCTTTTTTTTATTAAAATAATTATTTTTTTAAACATAATTTTAAAGAAGCTTGACTACAATTTCTAAATTTAGCAAGCCCTACCCATTTTTTTTTAAATTATGACCAAAGAGCAATGTTATATGTTGGGAGAATCCACCTTGGATACTTGACCTATCCAAGACTATTTAATAGAATATTGCTCGATGATGTTAACATGTGTGAAAGAGCCTAATATGAATCCCCTTGTGATTGATTATACCTTAATCGGGAGGGGGGAAAATGTTGTGTGTATTCCGAATCAAATATGAAGATTGATCTTTCTTTAGAATGTTATTCCCTTTTTGAGATTGAAATTGAGACCGTGCCCAAGGAATAGAAGTCCAGCTAGGAATTGCATAGAGCTTGAAATTTACTTGAAGCATCATTGAATTTGTTGGGAGCTTTATGAAAAAATGATTATCAATAACATTGTCTTGGACATTGAAAATATTGGAGTAAATTTTCTTAACTACAATCGCATTGAAAGTTACATCCAAGGTTGCGCCCCCCCTCCCCCAAGTATCAAATATTTATCTTCATGAAATTGATGCAACATTGATTGATGCACTATTACAGACTAGAATATTTATGACGATAGAGATATATAAAGTTTAGCGTCCTTACTTTGTATAAAGATCCATCACATAAACAAATAAAAGAGTTGGGTGTGATATTTATAAGAGGCACCAATATTTATTTTTATGTGAAAAACCTTAAAAAGTGAAAAAAATCATGAGACATGACCAAGTTTGAATGATTCCACTAGTATTGATGGTTGATTATAAATAATATCCCTCCTTGGAGGAGAGTACTAACTCAATATAGAAAATACACATTTGTATATATAGAGTGCATTGCATGACATCAATTCTTAAGAAAGCGTTCAAATATTT